GCCCTGACCAGGAATCGAACCTGCAGCCTTTTTGGTGTACCAGACAATGCTCCAACCAACTGAGCCACCTGGCCAGGGCAAGATGAATATTCTTTATGATAGCCCAGGCTGCAAACAAATGTCGCAGATGGTGATAAGATTTGGCTTAAAAGTTTAAGTAAAAATTTAATAAAAAATTATTTCATATTATCATCAACCTATATTTACAGTGAAATTCCTGACCATTTTAAATCTGTTCTTTCCTACTATTTCCTAGCTTACAAAAGTACCAGAACAATTATTAACGTGTGAATAAAATAATAAAATATCGAATGCATGGACAGCTTCTGTACCACTTTCACACACGCTACCTCACTTGACAAAATTACAAATGTCTTATCATTAACAGAAAGTTGAACATCTTTTATAGCTTTTCCTGACATCTGTTATTCCTGCCATTGTCAGTTTCTTGCCCCTGACTTTTATACCCTTGAAATAGTAAGAAAGCAAAATGCCGAGCCTGAATATTCCCTGAATATGAACGTCATATCCTAAATATATTCACAAAAATAATCCGAGGACCCAAATTAACTCACTGTGGGGAAAAAAAAAAATTAGAATCAGGCCCAATTACCCTTCAGAAGCTTTCCACCAAACAGGCACAAGCCCCATGGAGTAGGTGAAAATGAAATGGGCGTTGGAGATACGACTCCGTCTTCAGCCGAAAATGCTCTCATTCTCCGGGCAAAATGTGGCTCCTTAAACTATTCTTAGACCAACTCAACGTGCCGGCTGAACAGTAACGATTTAAATAAATGGAAAAAGGAAGAGCAGAAAGGAAGGGTGCTAAAATATCACCGAAATAGAAGGAAAGAATTATTGGGAACTTGAAAATTAGCCATTAAAATCTCTCCTTAGAGATGAGCCTTGTTCCAAGTTAAGAAGTAGTTTTAAATGATCACCAGCGAGCAGTCACGCAGCCAGGGCATCGCGCGCGAGTGACTTTGATGCAAAGGGTCTGTGCAGCTGTCAAATAATTTGGAGATGTGGGCAATATTTACCCTTTAAGAATATTGAGTAATTAAATGGAAATAAGCATGGAGTATTAAATACCTCATTAGAATTTTAAAAATCATAGTGGATATAATTAAGTTTCATCTTTAGTTTTGTCCAACTTTCCTAAGTTGTCTGAGCTCTAAAAAGGAACCCAGGATAAGATGAATCCCAGTTGCCTCCATCATGAAATTGTAGGTCAGACCCATCTTTCGAAGTCACAGCTTGCCTACTTATAAACATTCCCTCTTAATGACAATTGGCAGGGATATGTGACAATCTTTCTCACATTATTACATGCCCAGGGCAGTTTTATCTGTTACATTGCTTCGTCCATAGATACAGCTGCATATTGTGGCCACTAGAAGAAAGTAACCATAGCATCCCTATGCTAAATAAGGTGAACTTCGCATAAGTTCTCAAAAAATGGTAAAGTTTAATCTAACTGACCTAAAGACATCAACTAATTTATGGGGGGTGAGGGGGAAATAAAATAAAAGGAATCAAAAGAGCTTTTTGGTTTGTGCAAATAAAATAGCCAGGCATTTACCTGAATTTTTTTTTCTACTGAACATAACATTTTAGGCCAATAGCTTTCAAATTTCTTTGGCCTCAACCCCCAGTAAGAAATACATTTTACATCACAGTCGGCACACACACAAGCATGTATAATTAAAAGAATTTCTCAGGAAACAAAACCCACCCTACTAAATATTATGCATGCTGGTATTTTCTATTATATTCTTTTCCATTTTATGCCTTAAAAAAGATATTCTAGACTCACTAAACTGATTTCATGATCCTCTGGGTCATAACAAGCAGTTTGAAAATGCTGTTTTCAGCCCCCAAAACTTTTGATGACTAGTGAAGAGAAGTAAAGTCTCCTAAAAGGGTCTAATCAATTCTTTCCTTTTACCCTGTGTTTTTCAAACAGGAAAACTGGAAGGGGGGAAATATTAAATAATATTTAATAGTAACATTCAATAAACACTTGCAAAGACCCTTCTCTTCCTCCCTGGGTAATAAGATGCAGAATTCAAACGAGAAAGAAAGGACGTTATGGGAAACAAACTACAAAGGAAAAAAAAATCACTCGAAAACTGAATTTCTGCAAAGAATCCCGCTTGTGTGAATTTTTTACTTTTTTAAAAAAAGTTCCGTGTCATTTTTTTATACTATTCCGGAAGTGTTCGAATATCTTCTATTGCAAAAAATTTAAAATAGGGCACATCATAGTGAAATAATTTGCCTCTGGGATGATGAACAGTTTTGAATAAAATGTGGTCCCCTTTTCATTTGACCACGCTCACTTTGTAATTATCAGCAAGGCAGTAAATAATCCACCGAGGAGCAGTCTCATTAGTGCCCATTGAAATTCAGTGGCATTAATTTGCAATAAAAGAACTGAAAATTAATGGAAAAGAAAATAGTTTCTGGAGTCCATCATAAGGTTACGGAATTCGCATCGGATCAGAGCCTTCCTTCGCGTCAAGGAGTTTTAAACTGTGTGTGAATTAGATGGAATCGCTATATTTTGTTCTAATACTTTCTTTTTTAAGTGGGCAGCATAACCGTTTTTGTTTTTTTTTCTCTCTCTCTTTTCATTTTAACCCCGAAATAAAACACGTGAAATGAAGTTGAAATATGCTTTGTCAAGCTTTGCTCCTTTTAAAGTTTTGAAAGTTTCGCCTGCTGCTTGTCTTTTCAGCAATAACTCGGGCTGGGCGCGTTTGGCTGTGGGATGCGCGCCCATCCTTGGAGCGGCCTGAAGGATACCGCGCAGGGGCAGACACCCCAAGAACCTGCCCTTCAGGGCCCTCTGGGGCCAACCTGCACCTTCCTCCTGCGTTTGCTGCTTTGAGCATCTCTGGAGACAGAGCACTGAAGAGAGATGGTCCCCAGCCTGCGTGCAGAGGGTCTGGGCGAGCGGAGGCCTCTGACAGCTGCGCACCCAGGCGGCGCCTAGCTCAGCGCCCAGCCGCGTGGGCCCCGCAGGCCTCCCGAACCCACTCCAGGGCACCCCCATGCCGTGGGGCCCAGGGCACAGCTATTCACCAGAAACACCCCTAACCCCTCCCCCCCGGGTCCCTCAGGAAGAGAAGGGGGACACTCTCCACGGGAAACTGGGAGGGCGGGGGACGGAGGCATGTATATGCTCTACCAGGGGGAAAAATAAGGGCACAAAAATGTGCCACTTAAGTGACAAGTGGCCCTGCGCGCCCTGAACTGCCAGCGCTCCTTCCCCGGCGACGGCGAGGGCAGGAGGCGCGGCGCTCGGCCGCCGGGCATTTCCTGCGCGCTGGGCCTGGACCGGGGGTCAGCGGGCAGGGGGTGCTCCTCCCACGCTCCTGCCTCCACGGGGCGTGTTTCCAACTCACAGGCGCCTGTGAAGTCCTGGCCGTCCTAAGTCGTGGCCAGCAACCTGCTCCGGCAGGACCCAGCCGGGTAACCCTGAACCCCGCAACCGGAGACCCTCTCCCCTCCTCCGTGGCGCGCGAGGGGGGCAGCGGACGCTGGGAATCGCTTCCCCCCAACACCAACATCACCATCATCATCACATGCCCAGTCCCAAATTCGAGATGAAAGGAAAATTTCTGAGCCCATTAAAACAAAAATGTTAAATAATTGTAATAAATAAAACCGAGCTCCCCGAACCCCAGCCGCCTCCGGCCTGAAATACCAAAGCGGGACGTGTCCTGGGGACTCAAAGCGCCCTGTGTTCACTCGCTTTGGGGTGTTTCTCCCCGCCAATAACTGCTGCTTTGTAAGGTTTTCCAATATTTGTTTGGTTAGGAAGCACACGGGGTTTTTCGGATCCGACTCTCCGGCAGACAGTAGCGGGGTGGAGCATTT